CCTTTAACAGAAAAACTTAAGGAACGGGGAAAACTATTATTAGGATGAACTATATTCTATAGAAGTAGGTAGGTACCTACTTCTCCGGCATACCTTTTAGAAGAATTAGCTTGTCATATTTCTTAGTCTATTCATTTCATTGATGGCGTCATTATTACATGGCCTAGTCTAATTCTTCTATCAGTCAAGTTAGCGCTTTCATTGGCAAGTTTTTCATTTCGTTTCAATTTCTCTTTATCCTACTTTTCCTTTGTGTTGATGTTTCTTTATTTCTCATAGTGTTCCCACGAGTACCGAAGAAATATTTGTCAATCCTCCCAGACCTTCGTTTAGCAGGGTAAGAGCTGTTTGAAGGGGGTTGACAATATTTCGTGGTGTATTTCATAAGTTCGGACTTCCATTGTCTAATATAATATAAATTGATTTGAAATCCCTGAAAAAAATAAAAAGATTCACCGAAAATAACAATTTTAAAAGAAGCCCCGAGTCTGGTTGAGATACGTAGACTACAGCTTCATAATATGGAACCATGGGAATGCAGAACTAGACATTTTCCTGAAGCACATCACTTTCACAATGGAGAAGGAATTCCACAACGAATTGCCTTTCTTAGACGTATTGATTAAGAGGACCGACACTAAATGGGAAACATCTGTATATCGAAAACACACTCACACAGGACAGTATCTGAATCACTATTCCAACCACCATCAATCGACTAAGAGAGGAATCATCAAGACTCTACTAGACCGTGCTTTCGAGCTCTGTAATTCAAAGGAAGGTCTCGAAAAAGAAATAGGCATCATCAAAAATGACCTTCAACGGAATTGGTACTCCAGAGTGATGGTAGAACAGGCTTTAGCTAGAAGACAGCAAGAGCTCCACAAAGAAGAGAAGCCGGCACAACCAGTACTTCTACTTCCCTACATCAGAGGACTATCGGAAAGGATAAGTAAGATTGGGTCCAAGTATAACATCAGGACCTGCTTCAGAGCTGGGAACACTATCTGTGGCAGCCTCACAAAAACCAGGCCACCAAACAAGGACTGTGATTCCAAGAATTACATTTACCGGACACCCTAGTGCGGAGAATCATACATCGGTGAATCTAAGAGGCCATCGAAAGTTCGCATTGTCGAGCATGAGAAACACACACAGCGAGGAGAAACCAGCAAATCCGGAATAGCAAAGCATGTTTAGACTCATCAACATAATATCAAATGGGCTCAAGCTGAAATCATCCACAAAAAGGAACACTAAATTTCAGGTCAACCGGATACCGGAAAGTGGGTCAAATTAAACTTGCAAGATTTGTTAACATACATACAAGTCAAGTTAAATAAAAGCTTTCAATAATAAAACTCAAAATGTCATGTTGAAATCTGAACCCTAATTTAAAAAGAATTTCAAGGGCTCTCAAATGATATTATACTTGCTTAGGGGTGCAAGTCTATTGATAAATTCTGTTACATCATTTTTGTATATCATCTCTATAACATATGAGAAATTCCGAATGAACGGATATTTTCCATTTATAAATTAGAAGATAGAAGCCATATGAAATAATTACTCTCTCCATTTACAAAGAAACCACTTTTACTTTCGTAATTTGTACGCCAAACATTTCAATGAATATTGAAAGAGATTTCGTTCACGATTACGCTACAGCTTAAAAATTGGAAAATAGGAGATTCTACACACAAGAGTCGCTTCCAAACTTAAGGAAAGGTAGATTTTTTTGGTGAAAAAATATGTTTTCAACTACTCATTGTCAGTTGTTCGACGTTTGATCTATTGAATTATTGCCCATTATCGAGTATTTCACATTGTCTAGAACATATATTTCCAGTCAGTGGTAATTCCAAAATATTTGAAATTTGCATTACTTTGATTGAGTTACATTATTCTGTATATCACTTATAAAATATAAAGAAAGAGTCAACCGAAATGTTCGAATGGCTTGTGTTTGTAAAATAAAAGTCAAGTAAATGAATATAAATTTTATATTTGTATGAAGGTAGTTGACAATGTTTCGTGGTGCAATTCAGTAGTTGGGACTTCCATTGCCTCGAAAACGAACTAGGCATCATCAAAAATGACCTTCAACGAAATAATTACTCCAAAGTGAAGTAGAAACGGGCTTTAGCTAGAAAAGCTAGAAGACAGCAGGAGCCTCACAAGGAAGAGAAGCCGCCACAACCAGTACTTGTACTTCCCTACATCAGAGGATTGTCGGAAAGGATAAAAAGGATTGGGTCCAAGTATAACATCAGAACCTGCTTCAGATCTGGGAACAGTATCCGTAGTATCCTCGCAAAAACGAGGCCACCAAACGCTGACTGCGATTCCAAGAATTGCATTTACCGGATACCCTGCGAGTGCGGAGAATCATACATCGGTAAAACTAAGGGGCCATTGAAAGTTCGCATTGTCGAACATGAGAATCATACGCAACTAGGAGAAACCACCAAATCAGGAAAAGTAGAGCACGTTGAAACTTATCAACATAACATCAAGTGGGCTCAAGCTGAAACCATCCACAAAGAAGAACACTGGTTTAGGAGAGAGTTCAAAGAAGCCGTATATATGTTGTCCAACAACGCATTTAGCCAAGCTAGCGTAGAAATACGCAACATATGGAAACCTCTAATCAAGCGGAGCACGACCAACTCCCTAAGCCACCAAAACAGAGTTTCACAGCGATAAAACGCTTCTTTTAAACAGCCATAAAACTAACATCATGGTGTCATTAATCATACCTGACTCTCAGGGCTTAGTTATGCAACATGCTGGAAGTGGAAACAATGGAATCAAATATTCAAATACGATTGTGACTAAATATTGAAACTTTTACAGAAATTCACAGGCTCAATTTGATATTATTATTATGACACTGGCTAGACTCTAACTCAAATGAATATGTAAATCAAATGAAACTAGCCAATACAATGAACAGATGCAAGACACTGATTCACCTAATCTCACGAAAATAAGACAACAATCCATCGATTCAAACTCCACTTAAATACCATATATAATATTCAGGAATCTCAATGCCTCAATCGAAACTTATTGTTATGAGACATTTTTCAATTCGAATCGAAACGTTATTCTGAATAGTAGCAATTTCACTGAAATCGTAAAGAAAACGCGACATACAGTAAGTAAAAGCATCTAGCCCTGTCAAGTAGATGAGTCGGGTGACTCCATTGTTGAAAAATACCAGGTTAATCATTTACGTACTCTGTTTATACATTCGAACATTGTGTCTTCAATAAGTGTCCTTCTAACCAAATGTTCTTGCTGAAATTTCTCGTTATTCAGGTAATAAAATGTATTAAATATAATATTATGTTCTTATATCGATGCATTTAGCTGAGTTTTCTTGGATTAATCACAATTATATCAAACTCAAACGATATTATTTTTGGACAATACCAATCAAGCAATCAGTAATCACCAATAGATTATATCATGCTGTTTGGTATCGTTGTTTTGCTAAATAAAACTTTTCGTTAAAAATGGATATTTATCGATACAATTTTAAAATCTGGTGGTATGACTATTGATAATTAATTATGATTGTACCTAGTCAGGTTTTTGAATATTCATAAGATAACCACTAATAACGCTAGCGTGTGGGATACGTTATTCAAATATTAGTGATTATTTTCAAGAAAAGAGAGTTCAGATAAATTTCTCTGACTATTTGAGATTTCAATAACTAATAATTCCCTATCCTACTGCACGGCTACGTCTTTCATTTCAATCAACTGATATCGTTAATTTTCTGATATTAATTAAGGCCTGTCTCATGATTTCTCGCGCAATACGGCAACGCCGCTGTGCAGGCTTTTCCTGACGACCGAGTCTTGCCGTCTCGACTCGTATCTAGCCTGGCTGGTTGCTTTCTATTGCGTGTTGCGCCGGCAGAACTACGCATTTCGGTAGTATCGAAGGGTAAGCGTAGTTTTTATATTTATTTTTTAAAGGAAATTATATTATTCTGATGTTATTTTCGTGTTTGTGTGTTTAAGTCTCGATGGTTTATTTCACGTGTCCGGAGACCGGCTTCGGTTAATACGTATTGAATTCTTTAGCACAGTTGATTGTGGATGCATTTTCGAAAACCGATGGGTAGGTAGTTGATTTGTAATGCAGTTCCGCTGATTGTTTTCATTATTTATGTTTAACCCTGAACACTCGCAGCGGCGAATAATTACGCATTTTGCTTTATTTCTGGGTTTCTATGAGTTTGTGAAGTGTTAAATAATTATCGGAAAAGCTTTTGATATATGTATGATGTGTAAAAAAGTGGAAGAATTTGTTTCGCAGTCCTCGCGAAAATATGACACAGGTAACGTCTTCATAAGTATTTAATCCTTCCTAGTCTTACTTACAGAGCTTAGGAAAATTACTGAGACAGGTGCGTTGATTCGCAATTCAGGTATGAATAGGAATGTATCTTTTTGTCAATGAGAGAAAACCCTTTTGATTTAATTTCAATATTATAATTATCTATCTGACTAGTTAGCACGAGTTTTTTATCAATGAAATTGTTGGTTCTTGCCTATTACCTACAAAATGTAGTTTGAATTCAAAATTATTTTACTCTCCAGGAAAATTAACGTGGTGAACACAATAGTTGTGTAATTTGTTAATTGCAGGCTTTTCAAATAAACCATCTTATACAGGATGTAGTCTATTCATCGTTTCAGCAATTTTTTTCGTAAACCTATTATAAAACTTTACTTAAGTGGCCATGAATTCAAATCTCAATGTATTTTTTAATGCTGAGCACCTTTCAATTGACATTTCCCGAGATTTTTCAAAATAAGGGTACTTTACTAATGTCTCAAAATCAATTTTTTGAAGGCTGCTCGCTAGTAATTTTCCTCAATAATTATCCAAATTTTTTTTCAAAATCAACATACTGCATTTCCTCATTCAAAATATGAACCCCCACATTCAAAATCAGCTTTTGAAATGGTATGAAACACCTCTTTTAACAAATTGTTACTACGTGGTAGGAAATCATAATGAAGAAAAGAGAAATGAAACTTTCTATATTTTTACCACTTTTATTTGTACCTAACGTTACTGCAGTTTCGTCCTATACGGACATTTTCAAACTTATACAATAAACTAACAATTATTAATTACATTAGCCATTATATACCACCTCTGTAGGTACTAATAGAGGTACTTGGCTTGATTGAGTACCTGAATTTACAGTTTACAATAAGGATGTGCTAATTTAAAAACCGGCAAGTAAATTAAATCGATTTGGTCATTTAACAGGTTGCACCCGCAATTTTTATGCATGTGAATTTCCAAGGATTCTGAATAATTGAGTTTGTAACCCTTCCTTGCATAGTGCAAAATTTCCGTATCGTTTAGATTCGGAAACTTGTGGTTGCTTGCCAAGGAATGGTTTGAAAACGTCGAATCATTTTTTCCTAGTCTGAAGGACCTTTCATGTTCAGCATACCGTTTGTGGAAATTTCGGCCACATTGACCACATAAACACTATTACACTCGGGATACTTAAGCTTATAAACTCCAGATTTCTCCAACTTGTCCACCTTATCTTTGGCATTGAAAAGGAAATGAGATAACCAGGCATGTGATCTGAATGCCACTTCCAAATTGTTTTTTCTGAAGAAACCCGCAATTATCTCTGTTCTTTTTCCAAAATATGTTAGCGTTACCCATTTCTTTGATTTCTGATTGTTTGACCTGAGGGTATATCAATCTGTAAGTGAATTTCCGGCTTTGTTTCCAGACTAACTTCTGGATAGTATCTGCGTTGAAACCATTATTATGACCTATCTGTGTTATTATATCAATTTCCCTAGTTATATTGTTAACTATATGGAATATGTGGTATCTTGTTTCGTTACCTGTAATACCAAAAACAACACGTAATACAGAATTTCGTTATACCAATTTTCAAAATTACCATTTCATCTTGTGTGATGGAAACCATACATAAAAATTCATAAATTCATATGTCAAATCTGTTTTTCCATTAACCAGTTATTGTCCCTGTACGAACGACAGCCCTCAAAAGTCGAAACGTGTCCGAGCTAAGAATTAACGTGGTCTTACTTTTCAACGTGCGATTCCTAGCAAATATATTTAACATCGATTAAAGTTATCTCCAATCTCACTGCATTTCTAACAGATTTGACTTGGAATCTCATTTCGAACACTTCCATCTATTGTAAGATAATAAGTATCGTTTCAGTATAATTATAAAAATTCCTCTTGTGTATGAATGATTTCAGTTCAACTTACTGAAGTTGTAAAAAAGTTTCGTAACAAACTTGCTTATCTAAAAACACACCTATCGGTCTCAATATGGTGCAGCATAATGAGGGGCGTGTTGTTTAACAGAATTGCCGATCACCCTGGAAAACCATACTCGTTACGGAAAAAGTATTTCATTTATTTGAAATTCCAGAATTTTATAGGTGTCAGTGCGAAATATCTGAATTCTGATGAAACTTTGTTCACAATTTATTATATTCGACAAGAATTCTCACTGATATTCATATTCTCTATGAAACTACAAACTTGAGAAATAAAATCTCTTCGCCATAACATTGAAGACATATTATATTCCACATCACTCAAGAATGACAATCGCAAGCAAATATTCACACTTCATGTGAGAAATATAAATAAAAATGCCCTTGTTTGGGGAACATCAACCTCTTTGAGTAGTTTATCTTATCCGGATTATGTTTTTCAATATTTTTTGGTTAACGTACCCTTTAAGTTCATCATGAACAAAAAAAATATTTTTTTTATTTTACATTTTGCTATTTACAGAAGACACTTGCGTGATATCGAATCAAATATGACTCAATTACTCAATCACGTCTGATTGTAATGCAATTTCTATATCGATTCTATTGAAGCCACGCTTTTATACCTATGAGCATAACATATTCACCTTCAAAGAACGAGAACTGACCTTTCCAATAAAACTTACCTTGGTATTAATTGCAGGTTACGAGTACAACTTTTATTGTCGTTAGCAATTCTCTTCTCTGACAACGTTTCAGACGTCAGTGTTACTCATGCAAACAAAAACACTCGTCCAAAATGCTGAATATTTTCTCCGTTTTATTCAAAAACAAAAAGTATTTGTAAACTGGAGCAGATTAAGAAAATTAATAATAATGAAAAATGAAATAATAGCTATTGCAATTAAATAAATGTACCTTACTTTATTAGGTGTTCAAAATGTTCACCATTGGTAGCTAAGCANGGAGATCGGAATTAAACGTTATACCTCCGAAAATCTATGGTGAAAAGAGCCGTTAGTAATTCAATAATTCGAATTATCCATGGACTTGCGAAAGTAAATGGACTCAGCAAATCAATATCTACGACATAGTTTGTGTTGAAGACGCTAGATTCAAGGGCGTGCGTGTTTCGGGGAAAAAGGAGACCTGTGACTCTCCCTTCACCGACAGTGGCGCACGCAATTCAATTAATTGGCAGCTGAGAAAAACAAAAAAATGTGAAATTCCATATAAACTTTCGAGATAGATGTGATATTTTTATTAAAATGTTTGATTAATAATAAGTTTATTTGAAATTCAAGTATTCATATTCATTTTATAACAAGAAAATACAGACTGTACACAGCACGTTTCTAAAGAAATATTATTTTTATTATAATACATGAGATATGAACACTTGGCATTGTGGAATAGAAACAGTACCAGTATGAAATGGGTAGGTACGTACATTATAAGGTTCAGGTTCAGATGCTTGTTTCAGAAAGAGATGCTTTTTTATTGCTTTTTGAAAGCATTAAATTCTCAAAAAAATATTTGTTTGCAACATTTTGAAACACTGTAAGTTGCCAAAATATGCACTGCACTTTTGGTACAAGAAGAGTTTTGATAAACAAACAACTGACAAGTATAAGAGGAACAACAAGACAACTTTTCGATTCGAATATTTTGATGGAATTCTAGTTTTTTCATTTTGAAATGCAAAATTACAAATATTCACGATATAGCACTTTTTATACTGACATAGTAACCACTGCACAACAGTGAATCTACTTGCTAAAAAGCATACTGACTTTACTGATCTTGATGAAATTCATATTGAAAAAAAATTAATGGAACATGCATCATTCTATATGAATGACGACGTATTCCTTTTACTAGCGACCCCAGTATATATCACTATTTTCTGCTTCAATTCGTACTAATTTACTAAAATTGAATTTATAGCATTTTTTGTGAATCATTACACCATAATCTTCATTTCAGTCAAGCAATAGAGAAAGAATATTATTCGGCTCCCGTGAAATGGCCACATCTCTCATCCGTTGATTTATATACAATTATTATGAAATAAATGACGTTTGTTAGTTAACAATCGTTTTTTTGTGACTAAATAATAAGATTAACGAACCGTTTTTTTTAATCATGAATTCTATTGTTCCTCAAGGTTTAAAAAAATGGTCTTCAATTCTTTGGGAAAAAGTTCTTCCTGTTTGGCCAATACCTACAAGAGCCATAAGTCAACATATATACTCCTGATATATCCGACACTGAAGTTTTGTCTTTTTTTTTTAATGCTTTTATTTTTTAATATATTGTTTTCAATATAAAAATAAGGGTTGCTTGGATGTAGCTTACAGAACTAATAATAATTCAACCATAGCCGCTCTAACATTTCAATACCAGTTTTGTAAAACGATTTATCTTTTGCCTCAAAATAGGCTCAGTTTCAGCAATAACCCCTCGATTCGAGAGAAATTTCTCACTGTTGAGCATTTTTTGATGTCTGCGAACAGCCAATAGTCGCTAGAAGCCAAATCTGGAAATTGTTCCCACTGGATGTGGGAACAATTCTATGTTCAATTTATGTAGTTTTGTCATTGTTCTGATTGACTTGTGACCTGGTGCGTTGTCTTGATGAAATAAAATGTTTTTCTTTGCCATATGCCGTCATTTCTTTGCAATATCGGTCTTCAAACACTCCAATTACGCTATATAATATTCACTGTTGATGGTATTTCCCTTCTTAAGATAGTCCCAAAATACCGAGGCCATAACCTTTCCAGCCGATTGTTGTGCTTTCTGACGCTTTGGACGAGGTTCAGCAGTGCTCTCCACTCAGAAGTGATGTTATGGATCCATGTTTGCCAAACACTGCTCAGAATCATCAATACGTTTTTGATTTTTGGTGAGCCTTTTCATAGTTAAATGATCATGCAATACGAAGCCATTACGTTCTATTGATATCTTCACAATGTCGGCTAATTTATATAACTTCACTTTTCGGTAATTCGAAATGATTTTGTGGATTTTTTTATGTTTTCTGGTGTTACTGCCTCATTTGGACGTTCACTGCGTTCCGCATCATCGGAATATCTACGACGCAATGGATGCAATGGAGTCCTTACAATACTTTTCAAGTCATTGCTTCGCTTGAACGGTATTTTTCCCATCAAGAAGGAGTGTAAAATTAAAACAGGAAATTGTTTTTGATCCATTGTTTCGAAAATAAAAAAAGTAATATCTCTCTTAGCACAATAACTCACAAACTTATGAAAATTCAGCCATGAAATTTCAACAGCTTTCTTTTGAAGGTTAGTACTGAATGAAAAAGCGGTGAATGCAATAAGACTAGCGCCATCTATGTGTTAGGCCCGAGAGTTTTCAGCCCATGTAGTAAGTTGACTTGTGGCTCTTGTCCAAAACATTATATTGGCCAAACGGAAAAACTTTTTGTTTGAGAATTAAAGAGAACAGAAGTAGTTTTTTGAATGGAAAGATCAATTCCACGATTGCAAACCATCTTTTAACAGGACAAGAGTTCAATCACAACTTTGACGTCTTACATTTAGAAGTGAAGAGTTTGAAACTCAATGTTTTAGAATGATCAGAAATGAATAGATATAAGAATTCAGGTCATTTTCTGAATGGCCAAATACAATTGAATACTTCCTCTCAACTGATTTTTTTCTCAAGTGAGGAAGCTGATAAATAACTGATGCATAAGCTTACGTAATTTGATTCATTACATGTTTATTGAAATAATTCTTGATACTTTTTTTTCTTATGTTAATGTTAATTGTATTGTATTTGAATTTCGTCAGTTTTGAATTTGGAAACCTGAAGTTTTGGGTTAATAAAAAATATTGTAACTAATTCTTTCAAATGTTCTGTCCCGAAACTTATTGTATCAAACCAAATTCTATGCGGGCGAAGCCGCTGGCAACAGCTAGTAATTTATATTTTTACTTTAAAAGTACAGTACTTAGAAAAATATGCCAACTGTACTGAGTAATGAATAGCTTCAAAAATCAAATTGTGTTACCTATAAAGAAATTTCGCAAAACTAACAT